TGGGTGAAATGGTCAGCTGATGGTTGAAGTGGTCAGTTGATGTGTGAAGTGGTCAGCTGATGGTTGAAGTGGTCAGTTGATGGTTGAAGTGGTCAGCTGATGGTTGAAGTCGTCAGTTGATGGGTGAAGTGGTCAGCTGATGGGTGATGTGGTCAGCTGATGGGTGAAGTGGTCAGTTGATGGTTAAAGTGGTCAGCTGATGGGTGATGTGGTCAGCCGATGGGTGAAGTTGTCAGTTGATGGGTGAAGTGTTCAGTTGATGGTTGAAGTGGTCAGTTGATGGTTGAAGTGGTCAGTTGATGGTTGAAGTGGTCAGTTGATGGTTGAAGTGGTCAGTTGATGGGTGAAGTGGTAGGTGATGGGTGATGTGGTCAGCTGATGGGTGATGTGGTCAGCTGATGGTTAAAGTGGTAAGTCGATGGTTAAAGTGGTCAGTATCACACTGGCCACCTTTAATTTGCTATATATTTCCGTTTCATGACTTTATTGAGAATGTTCTTTTCACTTATAATATCACATACTGATGTTGTCTTTTTCTCTGATATCACCATTGTTTTCTGTCTTCATGATATTTAAGGATTCTATTGTCTCTGTGTACACAATAAAATTAAAAGAAAATTATTATTTAAGATACAGCAAACCATCTTTGATGTACACTATTTAAAAAATGAACGAGTTTGTACTGAAGTATATTAAACCAATGGCATGAATAGTTATTATTATCGTTTCTGTTCAAATCTAAATAGGATCAGGGCAGGGGGAGTGAAGTCCGGTTTTCATCATGTGGAGAAAGGAGTGTTTCAACCCAGACTGATTCATGTCAAGGGCAAGAGAAATCCAAGGTTTCAGAGGTGAGACTGCAGTTAGTAGATGGGTCAGTCATGGTCAATCTGTTAGTAGATGGATCAGTTGTGGTCAATCTGTTAGTAGATGGATCAGTTGTGGTCAGTCAGTTAGTAGATGGGTCAGTTGTGGTCAATCTGTTAGTAGATGGATCAGTTGTGGTCAGTCAGTTAGTAGATGGGTCAGTTGTAGTCAATCATTCACCTCATTTTGTTAGTTATTTCTTCACGTGTCCTAATTACGGAAATATTACAAATTCTGAAATTGTTGTTCATTGAAATTCATAGGTTAGTTGTGTATCCTTTACAGGATATTGTAGAACTAACCCCAATAGCCCCTGACTGTTGTGTGGTTTTTCTAGGAAATTACGTCCAGTAGTTTGCCATTTCTTTCTGGATGGTCGGCTTTCTTGATACCACTGTCAAAACCAACGCAAGGCGCATTGCCTGCGCAGCTGGGATTGAACCCAGCGTTACTAAGCGTTCGCATCAACTTAAGCACAGAGCCGACGGCGTGAAATTCATAATCTGTTTAAATTACCACTAATTACTAAAATCAAGAGGGCTATAGGATGGTTTGGACATATATAAAGAATGGCAGATAATAGAATGGCAACAACAACTGCGTACACAAAAGAGTTGAAAGCGAGTAAACTATGAGGCACACCAAAAAGACAATGGAGAGATATATACATACAAACTACAAAAGCTTGGAGTCACCAAATGGAAAGACAAGGCTAATCACAGAGATGAATGATGGCAGGTAATATCTGCAGGGATATCTTCACGAGTCAAAAAAGCTGAAGAAAAAGAAGAAGATGAAATTGTTGTTCGGTATTACCAATTTATTGTATGAACTGTTTATTTCTTTACTTCATGACTAATTTCCTCCAGCAACTGGATGGTTAGTAGGTCAGTCATCTCACAGAATTTGAGTTTTAACCATTAAAATCTGTAAGTCGGAAAAAGACTTTGAAGATGTTTGATTTTGCTTTTCAAAAGAACAGGAATGATAACAATATGAAAAAAAAAAGTCCTCTATAGTTCTATTATGCTTTTATTACAGTGTCAGGCCTTGAAGAGGCATCAGGTACGAGACTTGGCATTTGCTAGGTAGATGTGAAATTTATGGCCTCTGATAGTCCATCCATCATTACATCGCTTGCATGGACGACCTCTGGAACCGCTTCCTTTTTGTCTAAATAAAAGTGCTTTCTTTGGTGCACTATCTGGTAGTAGTCTTCACACAAGTCTGAACCATTTGATTTGTTGTCATTTGATGTAGTTTAATTCTGGTTCTGTCCAGCTTCTTTTCTGATATTTTTATTTCTGATCATCTCTCTTCTAATTCACCGCAGACATTTTATTTCTGTTGTTTAGATTCTTTTTTTCTCATTGAGTTATCCCTTAAACTGCGTCACATAAGCAGTAGCAAGCCATCAATGGGTTCAATTCTTGCTTGAAGAAACAATTTCTGAAACTGTGTTTTTAAAATAGACACTAACTTAACCTGCATATGCACAGGCTTTGTCCTGCAAGAATTCCCTTGTTCAGCCCATTAAGAAGCGAATACTGGCCCAGTGAGTCACCACTGCATGCAGAGTTGTATGGAACTAAACAGGAACTCATAAAAACAGAGAAACTCATAAAAATAGTCAGGTTTATTACAAGAACCTGTCTGTTGGTTAAGTCAGAAAGCGAACACAAGAAGAAGATAAAAAGTAGACACTTTGTGTAAAATGTAAATAAATAGTTTTGTCTGAGAAATAACATCAACTAGTACTTGTTGCTGAGAATATAACACTTGCTCAGTTTCACATTAGAATTCAAAGGTTTTTGTCTGAAGGTCTTATTCTTTGTTTACTCTGTGTTTGATATTATTTTCTGTCAGTGCAGTGTTTGATTAGCTTTGACACTATTAATAACCTGATCAACTAATAATTTTGTGTTTGGTATCTACAGCTTCCGTCGATTGGCTGGGAGCATATGAACAAAGGTGACTGCTTCATACTGGATCTGGGTCATGTTATCTTCCCTTGGCTGGGATCAGACTGTAACAGAACTGAGAAAATGAAGGTACTCATGTCTGGATGTTTGGTCCTACAAGCTCTTCAACTGAATTTTGATAATTGATCTCAAGCTCTACATTGTGTATTTTGTATAATTATTTCGAAAACCTCTACAATGCTTTTTTTTTTTTAACCCAATGACTATGAGAAGGCTAAATTTGGTCACTTCTGATTGTGACAGAGTCCCATAAATATCAATATATCAACCTTCTGCATTGTGCTTTTCTTGAGAAGTGTAGTTAAATTCCATTGGTTGTATGTGTGCATGCATAGTGTAACACAGCATTTGGTTGGGGGATGGGTTTTTATGACTTTAATGACTTGTTTTTTAAAGAAATTAAGCTGATGCCACACTTTTCCTGGAAGCCTCAGTTATAAAGGTTTCAAGGCCACATTATGTGTCTCCTGTATGTATTTGTGTGTTTGTTTGATAGGTCCCTAGAAATGTAATCCATTTAAAACTTCACTCAGTTAATGTTTATTTATTACCCATTTATATATTTTTGTATTAAAATCCCCCCCGCCCCCCCAAAAAAAAAGCTAAATCCATTTTAAAAAAATCGATTACGACCTGTGTAATAGGTTTTTTTTCTTGTTAAAGGATTTTTGGGGGAATTTTCATGGGTTTATGACCCATTGTTTTTAGAATTCATGAGATGAAATAGGTAAAAAAAAAAAAAAACATTTAGTGCTGTAGACCAGGGCTTTTCTGTTTACTCAGGGGCCAACATCCAACATTTTGAAAATGCAGATGGTCACAGGCCAGGGTCGGAGCCCAAGCATTTGAAGATCATTACTACAATACAAATGGAAATTATCTACGGGCCACTTGCTAGGCTTTCAGGGGCTGGATTTGGCCCATAGGCTGTCAGTTGAAAAGCCCTGCTGTTGGCTCTACAGTGTGTTTATTGACAGTTGAATTTTCAGGCTGTAAAATGTCTTCTTATAATTTCAAATGAAACATGCTCTGATTCATTTGTACTGCTGCTGCTCCTGCTGCTAATACTATTACTTCTAATAAATAATTTAAATTAGAAATGTGAGAACATGTACCTTTCTTGAGGCAACATATAGATGTTAGTCATGAGCCATTTTACAATCACTGATGAAGGGTTTTTGACCTTTCTTACAGAAAGATTTCAGAAGATCAAGGGTCAGGAAAAATAAAAATAATCACATTCTGCAGCATCTGAATACTGAAGAGATCCGGCTCATAAACATTAACTGCCATACTCCTTTAGTCAGAAAATACTGAAAACATGATTCCTGGAGAAGAGGCAGGGATTGACCACCAGGAACTTGGATGCATGATTAAAAAATTTACACTATCTATGAAAACAGACAAAACAGGGGAACAGGCAAAGGACCAGATAGCCTTTTGGCGTGATGAAAATGATTTTCCACAAAGGACCTGCTACATGATGAGTCCTCTAACTTCTGGGGGAGAAGTTTCACATTCAGCCTGAAAGTTAAGATTCTCTGATTTGTTTATAAATGTGAAGGTTTTTGTTTCAAAATTTACTTTACATTTTCCACAATGTCGGCTTATTTATCAGACATTAGAACACTGCCGAAGACTGAGAGATGAACGAGGGGGACAAGCGAACATTCTCTTTGTTGATGATGGCCAAGAAGAAAAACTGGACAATGAGTCGAAACAGGTACTCAGTTTTTGTCCATTCTTTTTTCTCCTGAAGTTTAGCCAGGTCAAACTGGGATGTGCAAGCAAGAATATTTGTGTGCCAGTAAAGCTCTCATTATGTGGGGAATCTATCTATATCCTCTTGTTTTTGTTTTTGTTGTTGTTGTTGACCTATAAGACATTCACAAGTGATCTCTATTGTTGCCGGTCTTCTGCTGCTTTTTTATCCCTGGTATCAATGTCATTTTACATTCCTTTATTTCCATTTCTACTGTTATTCTCCAGTTTCCCTGAGGTCCTCCACATCTTCTGTTCTCATCTGCCGTCCATCAGAGATCTGTCGTCAAAATGTCACAAACCCTTCTGCAAACATGACTAAGCCACTTCTACAAACATGACTAAGCCACTTCTACAAATATGACTAAGCCACTTCTACAAACATGACTAAGCCACTTCTACAAACATGACTAAGCCACTTCTGCAAACATTAAGCCACCCTTATCTTCTTTCTTTGATAGAATTTGCCATTGATGAACATTTAGTTTTTCCTCAATTCTTTTTGTTTGGACAAAATATTCTGAAGATTGTCCTCAGATTTTGTTTTGTTTTGTTATAAAGTTCTTTAGTTTATGTTTTTTTCTGACTGTCGTCTTCCAACATGGGGGCAAGAGTGTCTCATAAACAAAACACACAAAATAGTGAAAACACAACTAGTTATTATCAGACTCTTCAATAATATTTTTGTCCTTTATCATAAAATAAATCATGAAGATGAAACACACAGACAGGATCAACAAATACAAGTAAGTAAAGATAACGTTCATGGCATGAGTGATTTTTAATAATTCCATATTTTAGACAACTAGGATCCTGTGGGTGATTTGGTCAATATCTGACTAGCCACCAACTTACCACACCATTTACATGTCTCTGTTTAAGGATGGCTCAACCTTGAAACCTTAGCCAACGACAAAATAGTTCTGCTTCTAAGGTGGTTTGAATGATGACCACCGAGTCATTAGCAAGCATAGAAACTGTTGTGCTATTTTTGTAGCTTCCACACAGGATAAAACCTGGCAATAATATATGCCTCTTATCAGTAATCCAAGAATAATGTTCAATTGCAGTAATACTTGTTTGGTTTGGCTTTGGTTCACAATCAGTTTCATTGAACATGGTAATCTCTGTTCTGTTAGTGCTGAGTGTCCTCCCATAATCACACATGGAGAATCTCAATGATACACAAAGAAACGTGTGTATACTAGAAAGCACATCTGTCTTCTCTCTTATGCCTTATTCATGACTCCATATCTTTGTCCAAGTTGCTGGATGTGCGGGTGCATGTGATAGGATGTTTTATGCTTGTGGTTCTACCCAGGAGGAGAACAGAGCACATGTAGATTTGTCCTAATGGCTGTGATAATAGTCCTCACTAATCACTAATATTACGGCTTTTCAAATCTCCTAATGAAGATTTTCCATAAATCGTTCTAATAGTTATATGTTCCAGTTTTTTGTTGTTCTCATGATTATGTTTATAATAAGGTGTCTTCACATTTTAGTATTTTCAAATGGTTAAATAACTTATCTTGGTTGTCCAAGAAAATTCAAGAAAAGTGAATGTAAAAATAACTTCATATAATAATCTGGATTTTGTAAACTTAGAAATGTCCTATTCCTAAGTCAATGATCTATGAATCCTGGGATTTCACTATAGAATATATGATCTATCTGATTTTTGAATTATTGTAAAAATAACTGAACATATTTTTCCATGATACCCACAGCTGTTTGAGAAGCATCTTCCGATCAGTGAGAGAAGTAAATTGAAATCTTCTGCAACTGGAGGCGAAGATGATACAGGCGAGAGACAGATGTCTGCAAATATTAAACTATATTCGTATGTATCTTTCTAATGGTAAATTTTGATTCTGTATTTAACAGACCCTTGGCCTGTCATTTATGTTGCAGGATACCGAGAGAGAGCTGCTGTGGCTCAGTGGCCTGCTACCTACAGCCTTGTGACAGGATTCCTCTCAGTTATTTAAGACAATAATGTTCTTCCATGTCATGACGCCAAAATGTCCGTCTGCTTTCTTGGTATTCCTCTAGCTTTCTTCACCCTAACCTTCCTGTAATGAGTGTAATAAATTACATTTGGGGTTTTATGAAAAATGTTTGTGTTCAAGAAATAGAACAAATATTAACATCTCATTCAAATTTATTTCCATAGCCCCCTCACCCCCTCTTCCCCACGTTTTTTTCAAGTGGAAAAAAGAAGCAGTCACCACACTTACAATTGACTGCCAGGTTGATGAAGCATAAAATGAGTACCAGGAAATATCCCAGGAGGTAAAGGTAGCAGTTATTATGTTGACTGTACCACCCATTGAGTGCCAGTTAGCCCTTAAAAATATGTGCCCAGTACCAGATGTCAAACTCATCACCTGGTGTATGAAGGGCCCTTAAGAGTTTGTTTGACATTGTTAAAAACATGCCAGATTTCACAAACACTTGAAAAAAAAAAAAAAAAAACATATTAAGATAAAATTTATTGGAAAGTTTAATGGGAATATTTTATTTTCACCTGGCTTCAGATGTCGAGAAGAAGATGGAACACTCCGCATTCAAGAAGTGAAACCTGGCCCACTTTCACGGAAGGATTTGCAGAGCGATGTGAGTTTTTATTTTGATATATTTTAAAGAAATAGCTCTAGAATATAATGTGATTTGATGTTTAACACCAACTAAAGTCGTAGATCTCATACATTCATCCATCACTGTTTTCAACATTATTTCTTTGAAAACAAAATATTTGAACCATTGAGCAATACATATTTCTTTCATGTTTTTCTTGTTTCACAGTTTGTGAGAGTGATATTTTAATGACGGTTTGGGGAAAACATAAAATTATATCTGTCTGTTAGTTTGCCTACCTATCTGTCAACTCATCCATCTGTCTGTCTTATCCATCCATCCATCCATCATCCATTGTCTGTCTGTGTTCTAATCTATCCATCCATAAATTGTCTGTATTTCTATCTAATCCATCCATCCATCCATCTATCGATAAGTCCATCCATTCATCCATTCACAAATTGTCTGTCTGTCTTTCTATCTGTCTTTCTATCTGATCAATCCATCCATTCCATCCACTGTCTGTCTGTCTGTCTATCTATCTGTCTGTCCATCTCTCCATCCATAGTCTTTATTTCTATCTAATCCATCCATACATCCATTCATCCATCTGTCTGTCTAATCCATCCATCCACCCATTCATCCATAAATTGTCTGTATATTTAATCCATCCACCAATTCATCCATCCAGCCACTTCTCCAAATCTGTCCCTCAATCCATCCATAGTCTATCTAATCTATCTGTTCATCATCCATCCACCTACTCATAAATTGTCTGTCTGTTATTCGATCTTATCTATCCATTCATGCATGCATCTATGCATCCATCTGTCTGTCCATTTGTCTATTTGTCTTTCTGTGTATCAGTAAGCATATGTAATGAGTATTCACACGCCATTCAATTACTACATGAAGCGACTAAGCACTTATATGTTTTGCCTGAGCATAGCAGTTCATTTTTTTATATAACTTTCATGCCCGGCTCTCTAGCGGAATTGGCTGAACCGGATTTCGCGGAGACCGGGTGACGTACTCCTTGTGGTCCGGGTTCAATCCCGGGGGTAGGCAGGAAAGCCACATTTTCTCTCAGATTTACGGTATTTACAATGGAATCAAGGCCGAAAGGTTGCGATATCCATAATACCGAGCCTAAAGGTTAACAACTCATGGCTTCTGGATACTAAAACAAACATATAACTTTCATTTGTGAAGCAATATTCTGGTGCTGTCTGACTATGGAGGACATGGCATTCTGGTGGTGAATTCATGTATGACAAGCTAGATACATTGAAGGCTCCTTGGGAGTGAGTGAACTGTTTGAAGGCACAGAGAGATCATTCCAGTTAGAGGAAAATGGTGATGCAGGAAGTTACCAGGGGATCTGGCCGACTCTCAACACTCAAGGGAATGGCAAGTCAGACAGTTAAAGGTGCTATCAGAAGTGGAACACTTCTCTTGCTGCTGAAGATAGGGAAGGAGTGCTAATAGGAGTTTCCCAAGTGTTATGATGTCAATTCAACATTCAACATTTGAAGACAGTGGTTGGAGTCTTCAAGGTGGTTGGGGCTGACACATATCAGTTTCATATTTGTGCCAGGGCACCCTGGGAGTCGCCGTGGCATAGCGGCTTTACACTCGCCTGTGGATCGGAAGGTTGTGGGTTCGCTTCCTGGCGGAACCTGTTTTTTGTTTTTTTTTCTTTCAAAAATTAACTCGGCTCCTAGTTAGACCCAGCCTTGAGTGAGTACAAGGTGCAGTTCTGGGAAGCAAAGGTGGCCGGCGGGATGCTGACCACATCACCCATCTTGTGTCGATTGGTCTATAAAAATATAGGTCTAGCCCTATATGCCCTATACACCTAAAGATGTGGGAAAGGGTCCTTTACTTTTTTTAACAGGGCAAGCAAGAAATGAGCAAGCAGATAGGCTTGCAGGTAAAGCTAATGTGGAGGGCGGGCAAGCCATGCACCAGGCAGATATTCTCAATGCTCTACCTAGAAGTGAGACATTTGCAAGAACCAAGTGATGACTAGGAATCTGCAACCATAAACAGACTGCAAGAACAACATTTTAAAAATGATGTGGCCGGCCAGAAAAGAGCACTTTGCAGGAAGTCAAAGAAGAGTAAGAAACCAACAGAGAATTGGTGTCATGAACCACTACATCTGGTAATCTGGTAATCCTAGTTTCAGCTTCACAGCAAACGGATCACCCTATAGTTGCTTCGCTCCTGTGCCAATGAAAAACACACGTAGCTCACAGTGTCACACCATGCACTCAACTCAGAAGCTGGGCCACCACTACATGCTGCAAGATTTACTAAGAGAGGGATCAGAGCACTTATGGACTGAATGGTTCAATGTGCAATGAGGATAATCTGTCGACTAACTAACAATAACAATTTATAATGAATTATTCCTGTTCTTATCATCTTTGTTGTTGTACCATCATCATCACTCTCATCCTATTTATTAGAATCAGCAGAATTTATTATCAGAGAGGCCTTATGTTGAATTGTTAAGATCTTTCCAATTTGCCAAATTAAAAAATGTTACTTGTTTGATACATTTACGCCAACTGAGTAAAAAAGCACGGCTTTTTATTTTCTCCATAAAGTGTCTATGAGAGTGGAGAAAAGTTAACTGGTACCGCCAGGACAAAATAAAATCACTGGTCAAACGACTGTACAGTTCATGATGCTGCCATATTGGTTTTTTAAGACACTTGATATTAATTATATTTACCAGCTGATTGTTGTTTACTGGTTGTTTATTGTTTACATAATGTCTGTTGTTTACTAGATATCCATTATTTACTGGACATTTGTTGTTTATTAGATGTCTTTTGTTTGTGTGGTATGTATTATTTATAGAATGTCTGTTTTTCACTAGACCTACTTGTGATAGCTTATGCATAGAAATCCTGTTCAAACCATCTGGATTATAAATGGGATCTATAAAGTATATCTATTTCAGTTTTGGATGTCACCATGTGGGTTCGGGTGTCCTCATTATAAGGAAAACAAAAATAAACCCACAGCCAGCCCAAAAGTGTGTTGTAAGAGATGACTAATTGGGAGCTTTCTTCAAAGTCAGAGTACATCTGCCTAAGAGGCAAGGAACTAGCAGACCTGTGAAATGGATCTGCATGCAACACTCAGTCTATGGAATAAGACTGGAGTCCAGACGTGGACGAACAATCAGAACTTTCTACCAGAATTTAAAGCTGGTGCATAAATTATATGTCAGTTGTAAATTACTGTAGCAATATATTAAGTTACATCTAGAATATTCCAAATGTGCTTTATTTTCAGATAATTGTAATAATCATATCTCCTTGGGAATATTTAAAGTGATCTGGGATAACATTATTCTAATTTATTAGATGTCTTTAGTTTGTTTGATAACTGTTGTTTACGTATGTATATTGTTGGTTAGATAACTAATGTTTACTGTATGCATATTGTTGATTATATATCTGTTGTTTACTAGATGTGTGCTATTTACTATGTTTCAAATTATTTTATATTTACATTGATGTGCTTAGGATTCCTTCATTATTGACAACAGTCCAGCAGGTACCTGGCTGTGGGTTGGGAAGAAAGCATCGCCAAAGGAGAAGAAAGAAGCCATGAGAAATGCTGTGGTAGGTCAATTTCATGCATCTTAATTGTGGGAAATGGAGAACTTCAGGGGCTGTATGTTTGAAAAAAAAAAAAAAGCAAGAAGGAAATACTATAGAAAAAAAAATAGCAAGAAGGAAATACTATAGAAAAAAAAAAGAGATGAAGGCACGCCGTGTGGGATCTGGGACCCATTTTGCGAGACAGAAAGAACAGACCCTCTGCCAGCTCAAGGCATGTTGTACCAGGCAACATTAGAGGTGTTTTCTTAGAAGTTGGTATGCATCTGACAAGTGAGGACCAACAGTCTGCATACAAATAAGCCAGATCTGTAAAACAGATGTGCACACAAAAACTGAAGATCTGGAACAAGACAAAAGTCCAGAAGTGGATGAATGGGGAGCATTTTTTGCCAGAGTTTTCAGCCAGTTAATGCTAAGAAGAAGGAAAAGGATGCAGGGATATTGTATACAAAATAACTTAAAAAGAACAAAACGATAAAAAATATTGATGATTCATTGTCGGTATTGAATTGGCGTTGAAGTCATTTTATGATGTCATTTCACAGTTTCCCTGTTCTCAGCAACTGTCTTCAGTTATATCCCTCATAATATACTGCATTATAGTGATGTATACAGTGTCTATTGCCATATCCATGTTTAACTATGGTGCATTAAGGCACAAACAGTGTTTGCCAATTTGGATATTTTTACAGGGATTTTTGAAAAAGAAAGGCTACCCCTCGGACACCAAAGTGACCAGGGTAGTGGAGGCGGCTGAACCCTCAGACTTCAAGTGTCTGTTCAAAGACTGGCCCCAGCCACCACCTCCAGGGAAGGTTTACTGTTCAAGCCGAATAGGTATGTTCATTTTATTTCTAGAGAATGACTAAAACACATACAATTTCATCTTTGGGAATTGTAGAACAGTGCTATCAGACCAGTGTGTTACTTGGCTGGTACTGGATGAGAATGTTTTTTCACATCGTCTGTGGAACATATGACTTTAGTAGTAACCTTTCATCAGTTATTTCCAAATGTCTTTTGAATTCTCTTTTACTGTGTTTCCTATTTATCAAAATAAGACAATTAAAAAAGCAAAAAAAAAAAAAAAAAAATCATATGAATCAAAATTCTTCCTTGAATGTGTTGCCTGAAGTAGAAAAACAACTGCCATAAATTGTGACATACAAGTCAAGTTTTAAGACTAAAAATTCTTTCTTCTTTTCATTCACTGGCTGCAAACTGAAGTGGAAAGTTCTAGTTGTTCATCGACTTCTGGACTTTAGTCTTGGTCCAAAATCTGAGTGTTGTGTGCACATCTGTTTTACGTTTTGACTCTGATTTCAAAGGAAGCCCCCAGTTAGCCGACATACAACATGCTTTTTGGGGAGGCAGTGGGTCTATTCTTGTTTTCACCAGAATACACATTGAGAAGTTTTTGTTTCTTCAAAACTAGTGGCAAACTTAAATGGTGGGTATAAAATACATTATATAGGTATAAGCCTAACTGTGGATTGGTCACCAGATTGACTTTTAAGCTAATCCCTAAAAACACAAGTAGCCACCTGAACTGGCTGAAAGGAATAGACCTGTTGGCCCCAGTAGCCATCTTGTAAAAGACAACTAGGAGTTTACTGAAATCCTATATGCATGGGCAAAAGGTCTAGCTGTAAACCACACTAGAATGGGCCAGCTACCTTTTTAAAGGTAAATGCAGAAGGAAAAGAAATTCTTCAGCCACTTGTTGGCATCTGTTGGCAGAGAAACAGACGGAGTGTCTTTGACACTTGTCTTTATTGTCTGCAAGCTGCCAGTACTGCCACATGTATCTTCTACCATAGCTGTTTTTGACTTCACTTGTTTTTTTAAACCTGTCTTCCAGCAAAGACAGTTCAGACCAAATTTGATGCTGCAACTCTTCACAACAACACAGCTCTAGCAGCAGAAACACAAATGGTGGATGACGGCTCTGGAAAAGTTGAGGTGGGTTTTGCTTGATTTAGTTCTCCTCTGGAAGGAGGAATCTTATGGAAACACCCCATGTTCAGTTTGTGTGATCCTTTACAAATCAGTTTCAGTGGATTAATTGTATCTAATTTGATTTTCACACTTATTATACATTAACCTTCCTACTCTTTGCAATGGTACTGGCAGCTTGATTAATAGACAGCTTGATTATATTGAGAGCTTGATTATATTGACAGCTTGATTATAATGACAGCTTGATTATATTGCCAGCTTGATTATATTGACAGCTTGATTAATGGACAGCTTGATTATATTGACAGCTTGATTAATGGACAGCTTGATTATTTTGACAGCTTGATTATTTTGACAGCTTGATTATATTGACAGCTTGATTATATTGACAGCTTGATTATATTGACAGCTTGATTATATTAACAGCTTGATTAACTCTTTGAGTCCCAGGGGTTTTAGCATCACAGACCCAGGGGGTAGTCAAGAAAGAATTAAAATCGGCGCATGATGCGTTCCTTGGGACTCAAAGAGTTAATGGACAGCTTGATTATTTTGACAGCTTGATTATATTGACAGCTTGATTATATTGGCAGCTTGATTATATTGACAGCTTGATTTTTTTGACAGCTTTATTATTTTGACAGCTTGATTATATTGACAGCTTGATTATATTGACAGCTTGATTATATTGACAGCTTGATTTTTTTGACAGCTTTATTATTTTGACAGCTTTATTATTTTGACAGCTTGATTATATTGACAGCTTGATTATATTGACAGCTTGATTATATTGACAGCTTGATTATATTGACAACCTAATTATATTGACAGCTTGATTATATTGCCAGCTTGTTACATTGACAGCTTGATTAATGGACAGCTTGATTATATTGACAGCTTGATTAATGGACAGCTTGATTATATTGACAGCTTGATTAATGGACAGCTTGATTATTTTGACAGCTTGATTATATTGACAGCTTGATTATATTGACAGCTTAATTATATTGACAGCTTGATTATATTGACAGCTTGATTATATTGACAGCTTGATAAATGGACAGCTTGATTATATTGACAGCTTGATTAATGGACAGCTTGATTACATTGACAGCTTGATTATATTGACAGCTTGATTATATTGACAGCTTGATTAATGGACAGCTTGATTATATTGACAGCTTGATTAATGGACAGCTTGATTATTTTGACAGCTTGATTATATTGACAGCTTGATTATATTGACAGCTTGATTATATTGACAGCTTGATTACATTGACAGCTTGATTACATTGACAGCTTGATTACATTGACAGCCTAATTGTCAGTTTCAATATATTGACAAGCTCAGTCAAGTCCGTACACTTTCTATGAAAAAGAAGTGAGAGAACGAACGAACAAACAAACTTTATTTTGAAAGGGTCACAAAAGAGAGAGAGCAATCTTTTTTGTCTACAACTTCAAACATGAGAACAGAGGTGTAGGCAATCACTGCATCTCTGAGGTGGACAGCAGAAAACAAAGTTACCAGAGGAATTATTGTCTGATTTTCAGTCGGTACTGCAGAAGATTAAAATGGAGAGTGTGGCTTGAGTCAATACCAAGTGTCAGCACATCAAAATTATATGGACTCACCTGGATAAAGTTTCCAGGATATGCAGGAGTGCAAGGAAATGAAAGAGTGGATTTTCTGGCTACAAAAACAATAGCTATGAGAACACTCATACTGGACAAGGGAAACATTCAGAAGACCATACATGAACGAATGTTAACAGAAGATTTAAGCTTAGATTTAATAAACATGTGTAAGAATGTGTGAACGAGGAATAAGGAGTGGAGCCGGCAGGGCGGACACATGAGAGGAATGACGTGTGTATAATCAGTGTGTTACGGGAACAGTTATCATCTGCACCTTGAGACATTTTTGTTAGACGGAGCATTTGTGGGGTATGTTCGGTGTGCTACAATGTCGATTTTTAAATCAGTGAAAGATAGTTTTAAGAATCAATCTGGATGAAACGCATGAAACTTTTGACAACTCCGTGGGCCTGGAGATAAACTCTGGGACCAAAAGAGTTAAGTGAAAGACTGCTGGAGATAAACCCCAAAAGTGAAAGACCTATGGTAAAAGATAATGTAGGTTTGGAAACAGCAATTGACTTCAGTTACCTGAGAAGCAATATCTCCTCAGATAAAAATGTAGTGGCTGAAATCAAGCAGAGAATCGCAAATGCAAATGCTGCTTACAACAGACTTCAGAGTGTCTGGAGATCAAACCCCTACAACTTTAAAACTTAACTCAAGATATACAAAATATGCATTAGGACAGTTCTTTCTCCTTTATGGAGCAGAAACTTGGAAACAGACAGAAAGATAGAGAGCATGCTCGGAGGTTTTGAGGGAAAACTTCTCAGAAGATTGTTGGGGTTCACATGGGAAGATAAAATCAGCAATTCTAGATTACAACAAATAACAGACTTAGAAGATGTAAATTTAGAAAACAAAAAACGAAGTTGGAGGCAGATTGGACACATCCTAAGAACGAAGAAAGAGAGACGGCAGAGACAGGCAATGCAATGGATACCACAAGGACAGCAAGGAAGAGGCAGTTCCAGAGGTACTTGGAGGCGATCCTTTGAGGCTGAACTCAAGTCTATGCAAAGGTCAAAACTAGTGATAGAGAGGTTGGCTCAGGATCGAATTGAGTTGCGACAGTTTGTCTCTGCCTTATGTGCCCTGGGCGCGATGAGGATTGATTTTGAATGTTTAGGAACCACATAATGTCACTGACCAGATTGTTATTTAAAAATACTTTCTGTAATAATATTGTATATTATTTGAAGGTATAATTTTTTAATTTCCTTAAATAACCCTCTTTAACAGAAAAGCTCTGTGTGTTTGATAGAATTAACATCTTTTTCAGCAATAACATTTAATATACACTTTTTTTACTTTCCAGCTCCATGATGATGTAACTCCTTTGTTTCAGATCTGGCGTGTTGAGAATTTCACCATGGTTCCCTTAGAAAACATTCATTATGGAGAGTTCTACGGTGGCGACTGCTATGTGATTCTGTACACTTACCAGGTGCACGGCAGGGAAAAGTACATTATCTACTACTGGATAGTAAGTTTAATGTGTGGTCCAGTGAAATACTGGATAGTAAGTTTAATGTGTGGTCCAGTGAAATACTGGATAGTAAGTTTAATGTGTGGTCCAGTGAAATACTGGATAGTAAGTTTAATGTGTGGTCCAGTGAAATACTGGATAGTAAGTTTAATGTGTGTTCCAGTGAAATACTGAGATTTTAAGTTTAATGTGTGGTGGCAGTGAAATACTGGATAGTAAGTTTAATGTGTGTTCCAGTGGTCTTTGTTGAGTGCAAGAGGGAATGGCAGGCTGTAGTTTGGCAGACACATACAGTGTTAAAAACCCATTACGTTGTAATTATTTTCAAAAAGATTAACTATAGAGTGCAAGAGATTGCCAGAATGTGCTTTCAGTTTTAGTTTGTTCTCTACATTAGGAGATAATGTAAAATGTTCTTTACTCCTACATTACGTTAGAGGTATTCTGGTTGGGATCTTCACAAGGAGATAGAGGTATTCAGCACTCTTCTACATTGGTGCTTGGTATTCTTAGTCTTTACTCTTCTAGAGTTGTGTCTATTAGTTGTAGTCTTTACTCTTCTACATTAGGAGATAGAGGTATTCTGTAGCCATGAGTCTTATTTTCCTTGTTTAGTATCAGTGGCAGTTCATAGGTAGGAACTGTGGAACTGCAGCTTCTCATCTTGGGCGTGTAGGCATGCACTCAACAGGTTGTTTTGCTTGTGTATGCATACACATAACAAGTTGAACAAACTGTTTGGATGTTGCGCTCATGCACATAAGTAATAGTACATCTACAGTGCCAAACCATGAACCATCACTCACTGTTTACTAACAATTACACATGCACACACACACACACACACACACACACACGAGAAAATTGTCATCCTGCCATGTTGAGGCTTAAGCCAGACGTTAAACATTTGCTCTGTTGTCCTGCATGCAGACAGATCTTGTAATCTCAGCAAAGTCAAACATTCAGATCGCGAGCCTGGATGGAAAAACAAGAAGGAGATTAAAAAGTCTGGAAATTCCTCGGTATCCATGTGGCAGAAAATAAACTACACGTTTTCATAGATGACCAATATTAAGAAATAGTAGTAGCCCGGCTCTCTAGCGTAGTTGGTTAAACCTGACATCGCGGTGAATAGGTAAACTCCTTGTGGTTCGACCTCACTTCCGGGGGTAGGCAGAAAAGCCACATTTCTCCCAGATTTACAGTACCTATCATGGAATCAAGGTCAAAGGGTTGCAATATCCATAGTACCGAGCCAAAGGGTTAGAACTCGTGGTTTCTGGAAATAAAAAAATAAAAAAATAGGAATAGCAGTCATATTCAGGTTTCAACTTCACTGCAGTCAAGTCACTCTGTACATGCTCCGTTCCTGTGCCAGTGAATATCAATTAAATGTTCCTCACTGTCTCATTTGAAAAATTGGTGGGTAAAAAATTAGTCCCGGCACAATCAAGAAATGTGTGCACTCAGTAAATGCATAAGGCAGTTGCTAGAGGTGCCGAGGCCTACATCTGCCACAAAAAATGCAGTTTGTCATTGGCAGAAGTAGTCAGTCACAAAAAGTATTTCACCAGCCTACATGTAAACTGGCTGCCCACTATTCTGAATACTGCGACACATCCTCTGCAGCAATGCATGACATTTCACATTAAAAACACTGCTCACAGTGCTACACCAAGCACTTACTGACAAATATTAAATACAAAATTACAATGAAACTAGTGTATCTTCATATGTTGTAAGTTACATCGGGCCAAAAAACTAAAACTGTCTCTTGACATCTGTGTCCAGGGTCTCAAGTCAACTGCAGATGAGCAAGGAGCCGCAGCCCACTTCACTGTTGAGCTAGATGACAAGTACAAAGGGGCGCCAGTTCAAGTAGGTCATAGACTTGATTCCATTAAAAATATCCGTATACTTAAATTAAATCTGGCACAGGGAGCTGTGTATGGCATAGCGGCTCAATGCTCGCGTGTGGATCGGAATGTTGTGGGTTCGCTTCCTGGCGGAGCCGGACTTTAAAAAAAAAAAAGACCTTGACCCCCAGATCGACCCAGCCTTGAGTGGGTCCCGGATGCAGTCCCAGGAAGTAAAAGCGGCTGGCATAATGCTGACCACATCACCCATCTTGTGCCAATTGGTCTATAAAAATATAGGTCTAGCCCTATATGCCTTATTCACCTTAAGGTGTGGACAAAGGACGGTTACTTTTACAGAGAGCTGTGTACAATTTAAAATTGTGGCTCATTTAGATATTATGATGAGACAGGTAGACAGTAAAAACTGGTGTATAGGTCCATTGTCCATGCTTTTAGGTGTAGTGATCATTTGCTGCTGGCCTCATCTTTTATAGATCCATTGGCACTGGTGGGGGATGTAGTTAGTAAAATACTGGCTGCCTTTACTTCCCAGGGCATTATATGGTATCACTATTCAAAGGGGTTGTCTTGTGGACATAGGTAGATTTCAATAGAACACTGCTAGGGCCAGTGCAGCCAAAATGTCTTTGCTCATTCCTAATCTAACCTACATGACCTGGGCAAAATATCCACATGATTTGTCACTATATGGGTTCACTGGCCCATTTTTGGTGGGGTAAGGGGGGAGGGTTGTGATTAGATCCGCTGTCCCTTAAGCATATTGTAAAATAAATAATTGCGGTTTTCATGAAATAGTATGTGTTGGGTCAAAAGGCGCAAATATCATACTCTAGCTGTTAACCACAGTACAACAAGCCAACTATCCTTTGAAGGGCGAATGCAGAAAAAGAAAAAAGATATTCAAACCTCTGACTACTGGAACAGTAAGCAAGCTTGCTAGCCACTCTGCTATCATGCCTCCCAAGCAACTGCATCAGGGACCCTATTTTTGTGACAGTTTGATGTATGTGCGCTAGCTTCAATATCCTGTACACTCTCTATCTAGAAATGACCTTCACCCTGTTCTGCTACAGGTTCGAGTTGTCCAGTACAAGGAACCGCCCCACTTTATGGCCATATTTGGTGGCAAGATGGTTATATTTGAGGTAGGAATTTCACATTATTAATGCCTTCTTGTTTTGTGTTAATTTGCTGTTTACAGAAACACCTTTTGTTTTCACCATCAAGAAATTAAAAGCATTATTAATCTCCAGGTGTTAAGTATTTTTCTTGCACCTTTAAAACTTTCCAGATGATAATGTTCCACTATGCTAAAGAGAATTGCACAACTCTTCCTTTCTTAAATCCAAGTCCTTGTGCAAGTCACTTTCATCCACTTATCATCCAGTTTTTATCCTTATCAATCTTTTTTCAAGTCCTGTGGCAATGGTTGAGCAATAAAGCGGCAGATATGGGTATTTCCCCGTAAATGATAAAAAGCTAAATGTAGTCATTATTTATTCACTTATCTTGACAGTACCCTAACTCAGCGGATCAACATCAACACACAGCTCAAGAACTTTCCAGGCTCAAATTGGACTAATCAGCCACCTTCCTACTCATAATCACTGATCAGTACTACTTTGAATGAAAAGTGGTCTTCATGATGGATGAACAACAACAACAACAACAACAACAACAACAACAACAACAACATGCTTCATGCCCTATATGTGTTTTTATCATGATACCCATATCAAAGAACCATATAATGTTACTGGCTTCTTCTTCTTAAGTTCCATGCAGTGTGGCATTGGTAATCATGACTATCCTCAACCTTCTGTCTCGTGTACTTTCAGTCAACTCTGACACAGATGATCCTTCATATCGTGAGTTAAACTGTCCAGCATCTTCTCTCTTGGTCTCCCTCTGCCTCCTTTCCCTCCAAGTTTCCAATATCATGATGTTGCACTCCACTTTACTCCTTCTTATGACATAACCAAAGAATGAGAATGTAGACTATAGCTGGCTGGATTTATATGTGCGTGCATGTGTGTTTGCATGTGTGTGTATGTGTGCAAGTGCATGCATGTTTGTGTGTGTGTGTGTGTGTGTGCATGCATGTGTGTGTGTGTGTGTGTGTGTGTGTGTGTGTGTGTGTGTGTACAGGATTCATTTCCATAGATCAGATAGTATATTCTTCAACATTAGGGATTTACAGCCATAAAATCTAAATTAAAGTTAGTTGCATGTTCGATATAGGACTTGCAAACAAGTATTTGTTGCATGTTTTGTAGTTCTAAAAAGCAGTCTCACCTTAAGTAGTTATGCGATTAAAAAAATTTCTATAAATATACTTCACAACAGACTTATCAAGTAAATAGGTTTTATAATAACTTTTAAATTAAAAGTTGGGGCTTTCGTTGTTATTTAACCCAATCATGAGAAATCCAGAAAGTCGAATTGAGGGACATAGGTTGTTTGGTGTTAGACCCAGTTCTAGATGTTTTGGGGTAGTTAAAAGCATCCGAAAGCCGGGAAACCCACTCTTACCACCCTTAAAAATATTGGACTGTTCTGTGGCGTCATCCTAGGGTAAGATATTGCGAAAGCACCTAAAGCTTCAATAACACCTTCGTATATTTATGTCATTTATCAAGGGAGGCAAAGCTGGCTGGACCAAAGGTAAAGTGGCAGTTGGAAACACAGAGTACGCTGGCCCAGGTGACAAGTACATGCTTCAGGTTCGAGGCACATCGGCTCTCAATTGCAAAGCTGTACAGGTAAGAGTTTCAGTCTTCGAACATTTGAACAAACACGGGAATAGTTTTAATTAGGAACATATGTTATAGAGGGCACAATAGATATTTCTATTTGATGCAGAAAAAAAGGAAGAATAACGATTTTTGTTACTATTGTTGTTGAATTATAGAATAATTGTCATGCTAGAGTACAATAAACTGAATATTCTAGTAGCTTGCTGCATATCTTAGGAAAGCAGAGCTTAACATGTCCTTGAGTATATGTGCTAGCAGAGTGTTATATGACCTAGCAGAGTGTTATGTGTCCTAGCAGAGTTTTACATGTCCTAGCAGAGTGTTGCATGTCCTAGCAGAGTGTTACATGTCTGCCTGTTCATTTCTCAACACACAGGCATACCCTGACAAAAAAATCCAGACCACTCTCTCACAAAACAAGCCTGCCCTCACCTTCCTCAGCATGCTTTCTCAGTCACAGTCAGTTACAATCACAATGTGTGCATGTGTGTGTGTGTGTGTTTGTGGGGTGTGTGTGTGTGTGCATGCATGTGTGTTTGTGTGTGTGTGGGGTGTGTCTGTGTGGTGTGTGTGTGATGTGTGTGTGTTTTTGTGTGTGCATGCATGCGTGTGTGCGTGCTTTTAGTGTTCTCTAGCCAACTGAAAGCAGCAGTGACGGCCTCCACATCCATTCTGAAGCTGTGGATGTCCTGTAAGTATGAAACATGCAGACTGATCTTAGCAGAGAAGTAACCCTGATTAAGTTTATGTCTTTGCAAAGTTCAGCTCTCACAATCATCACATCACACTGAGCATTCCCACTGGTGCTCCATCCTCTAATGCAGCAGCCATACCATGGTAGCTGTACACCCGTTTCCATGAGACTGAGATGAAGTATGCTTGACTGAGACTTTGCTTGAGATGAGGTATGCTTGACTGAGACTTTGCTTGAGATGAGGTATGCTTGACTGAGACTTTGCTTGAGATGAGGTATGCTTGACTGAGACTTTGCTTGAGATGAGGTATGCTTGACTGAGACTTTGCTTGAGATGAGGTATGCTTGACTGAGACTTTGCTTGAGATGAGGTATGCTTGACTGAGACTTTGCTTGAGGTATGATTGGCTGAGACTTTGCTTGAGATGAGGTATGCTTGACTGAGACTTTGCTTGAGATGAGGTATGCTTGACTGAGACTTTGCTGTAGATGAAGTATGCTTGACTGAGACTTTGCTTGAGATTAGGTATGCTTGACTGAGACTTTGCTTGAGATGAGGTATGCTTGACTGAGACTTTGCTGTAGATGAAGTATGCTTGACTGACACTTTGCTAGAGATGAAGTATGCTTGACTGAGACTTTGCTTGAGATGAGGTATGCTTGACTGAGACTTTGCTGTAGATGAAGTATGCATGACTGAGACTCTGCTTGAGATGAGGTATGCTTGACTGAGACTTTGCTTGAGATTAGGTATGCTTGACTGAGACTTTGCTTGAGATGAGGTATGCTTGACTGAGACTTTGCTGTAGATGAGGTATGCTTGACTGAGACTTTGCTTGAGATGAAGTATGCTTGACTGAGACTTTGCTTGAGATTAGGTATGCTTGACTGAGACTTTGCTGTAGATGAAGTATGCATGACTGAGACTTTGCTGTAGATGAAGTATGCTTGACTGAGACTTTGCTTGAGATTAGGTATGCTTGACTGAGACTTTGCTGTAGATGAAGCATGCATGACTGAGACTTTGCTTGAGATGAGGTATGCTTGACTGAGACTTTGCTTGAGATGAGGTATGCTTGACTGACACTTTGCTAGAGATGAGGTATGCTTGACTGAGACTTTGCTTGAGATGAGGTATGCTTGACTGAGACTTTGCTTGAGATGAGGTATGCTTGACTGAGACTTTGCTTGAGATGAAGTATGCTTGACTGTGACTTTGCTTGAGATGAGGTATGCTTGACTGAGACTTTGCTTGAGATGAAGTATGCTTGACTGAGACTTTGCTTGAGATGAGGTATGCTTGACTGAGACTTTGCTTGAGATGAGGTATGCTTGACTGAGACTTTGCTTGAGATGAGGTATGCTTGACTGAGACTTTGCTTGAGATAAAGTATGCTTGACTGAGACTTTGCTGTAGATGAGGTATGCTTGACTGAGACTTTGCTTGAGATGAGGTATGCTTGACTGAGACTTTGCTTGAGATGAGGTATGCTTGACTGAGACTTTGCTTGAGATGAGGTATGCTTGACTGAGACTTTGCTCCCCTGCCATGAATCTTGCTAGTTTTAGATACTCACCAGTGTGCCAGTCTGTACTGCATTGCTATCTTGTTTCCTGTCTATGCTTCTTTCCATTTCTTTCTTGCCAGTTCATCTGCTCCTTCATTTTCTTTTTCTCTAGTATATCCTTGTGTGTAGATCAAGGTGAGGGAGCTGGTTCAGCTTCAAAAGGCTGTATATCTTTTTCATTGTGAAGACTACCTGTTGTGACTCTCTGAAGCAGGTCTATAGAGTATGAAATGGTTCCAGCAGATGTGGCTGCTTTTTCTGCAGCCCATGCACAAGTTCTAGAGGATGGCATGACACCTTATGTAGGTGCCTAGTAAACACAAAAGGCTTCTTTTACTGATGACCTTTAATCAGTCTTCAGTGACTCAGTTGTGCAGAACATGATGTCTTCTGGATAAGAATGTTGATCTGTCAGTTCCTTGATCTTAGTGCCTGCAGTGACATAAATCTTGACGGCTGCAGTACCTCCCTAGTGTGATGACAACTTAACAATGCCTATGCATGTTCACAGGTTTATCTGCCTTCTTCTCTGTCCCTGAGCTAATCCAGGTTAAACACTTGCTGGTTTCATTCTTCTATGTTGGCCATCCAGTAGCGGCCTGTCATTGACAGTACTATATGGTGGGTGGTTAATGTCTGCTGACACCCTCATGTAAATCTTCTCTTGTTCACTGTGTGTCTGCTGAAAACATAAATATCCTTTATCTGAAAAAGGAACACTAATCTCTAAATTTGTCAGTCATAAACCAAAAGGATTGAACTTGATATTTATGGTGTAATTAATACTACAACTACATTAAGATTTAACTTCCACATTCACCATTTCTCTATTGTTGCCAGGTGCCTTTGAGAGCCGCATCTCTCAACTCAAACGATGTTTTTGTCATCTTCACCAAGAGTGCAGTCTACACATGGTCTGGCAAGGGTTGTACAGGAGATGAAAGAGAAATGGCCAAAAAAATTTCAGCAAGGTCTCCAAGGTTTGTGTTTGTATTTTGTAAATAGTGTTGTAAATGTTCATTGTCATAAAATAAAACAGAATAGAAATCAGTGATAACTTTTTCTTGAGAGAGACAAACAAAAAACTGGAGATTCACTTTATGGAGAACAGAAACTAATAACACGGGAAAAACAAAACTAATAACGGACAAACAAAACTAACAACGGAAAAACAAAACTTATAACATGGAAAAAACAAGCAACTAGATGCCTACACACAGCCAGAACAGATCAAACAAAAAATAATGACTCTTAGTATGACAGCTTGACCGGTATTTAGCCCTCCGAGATGAGGTTTCACATCTCTGCCTGAAAATTTCATGCAAACTGAGTAATCCAAATGTTTCAGAGGAGATGAAATCTGAAGACGAATCATGAACATCAGAAAGAGACAGTCAAATCATCATTTGTTGGTCATGCTGTAAAAAGAAAGAACCTGGAACATGTTGTAGTGACTTGAAAGATTCGTGGAACATGAGATAGAGAAAGATGACTTGACACTCTGTTGTTCTGTAATGGAGGGTGTCGGTACATGAAGTGATACATGCTACTGGAGATTACAGATTGTGGAGAGATATGATTATCCATGCCACTCGGCAAGGCACTTGATTATGACAATGGTAATGTATTACAGATTCACACACATGTTTACTAATTATGTTCCAAGTGCCTAATCAAGCATGTCCCATCTGTTTATATAAATACACTAACATGCAGTGATTTCTGTTAATCTCAAGTTTCTATACATTGTCCCCTGTCCCACAGAACTCTGACAAATGTTTTCGAAGGCCAGGAAAAGCCAGATTTCTGGAATATTCTTGGTGGAAAAGAAGAGTATGCCTCAGACAAAATTCTGCAAGTAAGATATTTGTGTTCTGATATTGATTTGTTTTTTTAAGTATCACTTGTCTGTGTATGTAAACAAGGAATCTTTAAAACTTTTAAAGCAACATGAATTTCGTTTTACAGATGAAGTAACAATTATTTTAATTAGATGCACTATTTCATGAGCGCCTACGGCAGTTGGCAGGGCACATGATGATAATGATGAGATGCACTTTTGAATAAATTCCTAACCTGCACAGTTTGTGGCAAGTGCACTAGCCATGTGACCCTAAATTCTAAGGCTAAAAAAATGTCAGTCAGTATTTGCTTTCAATAACTTTCTTGTGTATTTAAAATGTATTTTATTTTATGTATTAGTCATGGTGTTATAAAGTGTACTGTACAGCTAGGCTATTTAATTTCTGGCCTACATGCCAAATCTGGCCCACAGAGGTCTAATAAGTGGACAGGGGATCACTGCCATCTGTATTATATTAATGATCTTTCTAAGAAGGGAAACTTGGGTTCAGGGCTCCATCACGGGACAGTCTCTATTTTCAATATTTGGTCCCTGAGTCCGATTACTTAAAAAGCCCTGCTATAAAAAGTGTCTCATAAGTTTCCATACATAGAAAAAAATAAACAATTTTTCTAATAAAAACTGTTTCATTATATTATGCTCTACATGACTACCATTGTTGTAAAAACACACTTTGATGATTGTCTCAGTCTGAAGAACGTGTAAAAGCACAGACAGACATTTTAAATTTATTATAATATATATATTACTGTTGCACGTTTATTGTAGCATGTTGATTTATAGCAGAAAAACTAAATATTCCATCACATGATTTGTATTTCTCCAAGGATGAAGGTAGCCATCCTCCCAGGTTGTTTCAGCTCTCCAATGCTAAAGGTCGCTTTATTGTTGAAGAGCTACATGACTTTGTCCAGGTCTGTTACATTAGAAACTTAAGTTTTCCATTTAAATTTATGCTTCATGATTTATGAAATACTCTTCAAGTCTTTTCATTATAATGATAGATTAACAGAAATAAATTAAAAAGATATACTCATGACTTTCTTAAATATTTTTTAATATATCCTTGGAAATATTTCTATGAATGGTTCTACTAATCTATAACACTGACATGTACATTTGATTATGAATGAATGATGAATGAATGATGAATGAATGATGAATGAATGATGAATGAATGATGAATGAATGATGAATGAATTGACACCCTGCACTCAGGACATTCCCACACATGCTCTGTCTCCTTCTTCAGTAGCCAACAGAGTCGATATGCAATAGAATCTATTGCACCTGATTTATAGTGCACCTTTGTTGTCCCCGCAGTGTTGACTATTTTCAAGACACTTATCACTCCTCGCTCAATTAGTCTATCGATGTAGGGTTGTTGAGTCAAAAATTGACATCACAGCACTCAGGGCATTCCCATGTATGATCTGTTCTCATCTTCAGCAGGCAGCAAAGAGTTCCAATACTGATGGTACCAATCACAGTCTGCTTATATGTCCATCTTGTCTTTCCTCTGAGTGTAGTGAGCCGGCCAGACCCTCTGGTTACACCCAGGTGCCTCATTCTCTCCAGGTCATAATAGTCTTATTTCTCTGCTGATTCCGTTGCTTGTTCCTAAAGGGCCTTGACCACATCTGCCTTGTCATGAATCAATTCATCACCCAGTGGTGCAGATCCAGCCAACTGTCTGCCTGTTCATTACCCACCACACCGGTGTGGCCTGGGGAAAAGATCCAAAGTATGCTCACTACCCCTGACCTTGCAAGTGAAGCTTGCCACTCTGCTCGAAGCATCCCTATCTTCACCTTTCTCAGCATGCTTTCAGAGTCTGTTACAATTATGACATGTGTATGCAACTTGTTCTCTAGCCACTGGAGAGCTGCAGTTACCCCCTCTACCTCCATTCTCATGCTAGATGTTGTGTTGTCTTATGCTAGGCTGTCTTGCACTAAAGATTTTCCATTGGCTTTCCCTACAAACCCCCAGGCACTTCACTTTCTTCTCAACACTTAACCATCTGTATAGATAATCAGATCACCTGGGTGTGAATTGTCGTGAATCAACTGTTGAACTTCCACCTCCGAAGCACCCGCTGGCCACTCTCTGTACTCCTGACCTAATGTGATCATAACCCTACACAGGTCAGACTTTTCCGCTTTTCCGATATAGAGATTTTAGGTCTGTTCTGTTGCACTGTCCATTTGATCCTAGAGAGCCTTCACCACTACTACTTTATCATAATGAAGCTCACCAACCAGAATAGCAGCAGCCAGTCTATCAGCTTGCTCATTACCCCACACACCAGAATACCCTGGACAGAAAATCCATGATATGCTCCTGAGCAGAGCCTTATCAAGGGAAGCAAGCCATTCTTCACATAAGACGAGGACACCAGTTTCTTTTTTCCAAAGTGTACTCTGTGAGTCCGTTACCACGACTACATGTTGGGCTGTGCTGTTCTCAAGCCATCAAAAAGTTTCTGTTGCCAACTCAACCTCCATTCTCCTACTGGATGTTGTGACATTTTACTTGAGGCTCTCTGTTTTCAAACAAGGTCCATCAACCTTTGCAATAAAACCCCTCACTCTTTCTACCTTTCACTCATCCATGTATATAACAATGTTTCAGCCTGTGAATTATCATTGAACATTTGATTAATCAGCAAGTGAAGAAAATATAAAGGATTTCATGTCATGCCTTGAGGTGTGTTTGATCCATGGTGTTAACTCCATAATTGCTTCACTGAGCTTTATGACACAGAATGTGTGGTCAGTGTCATACTAGGTGCCTTTACTTTCCAGGAACTATCTTTATTTAAGGCAGGTCAAACTGTCAGGACAGTACTAACTCCTGTCTGTATTAGTTTTTAAATGTTTTTAAAACATGACATTAACTGCCATCTTCTTTACTCTAGTCAGAAGTACCAGATTTTATTCCAGCTGCAGGTGATTTGGTGGCAGACTGTATTGCATCGATTTCAACAAGGGTCTCAGAAAAAATAGAAAACTATATAGCGTAAAATTGCCTAGCAAAAAAAAAACAGCCAACAAATGTTAGAACTAGTTCTGCAACATCCTGTAAAAGACACACCACTAACTTTAACCTCTTGACTCCAACATCCTGTAAAAGATACACCACTAACTTTAACCTCTTGACTCCAACACCCTGTAAAAGATAAACCACTAACTTTAACCTCTTGACTTCAACATCCTGTAAAAGATAAACCACTAACTTTAACCTCTTTACTCCAACACCCTGTAAAAGATAAACCACTAACTTTAACCTCTTGACTCCAACATCCTGTAAAAGATACACCACTAACTTTAACCTCTTGACTCCAACATCCTGTAAAAGATACACCACTAACTTTAACCTCTTGACTCCAACATCCTGTAAAAGATACACCACTAACTTTAACCTCTTGACTCCAACATCCTGTACAAGACACACCACTAACTTTAACCTCTTGACTCCAACATCCTGTACAAGACACACCACTAACTTTAACCTCTTGACTCCAACATCCTGTAAAAGATACACCACTAACTTTAACCTCTGTACTCCAACATCCTGTAAAAGATACACCACTAACTTTAACCTATTGACTCAAACATCCTGTAAAAGATACACCACTAACTTTAACCTCTTGACTCAAACATCCTGTAAAAGATAAACCATTAACTTTAACCTCTGTACTCCAACATCCTGTAAAAGATACACCACTAACTTTAACCTCTTGACTCAAACATCCTGTAAAAGACACACCACTAACTTTAACCTCTTGACTCAAACATCCTGTAAAAGACACACCACTAACTTTAACCTCTTGACCCAAACATCCTGTACAAGACACACCACTAACTTTAACCTCTTGACTCCAACATCCTGTACAAGACACACCACTAACTTTAACCTCTTGACTCCAACATCCTGTAAAAGATACACCACTAACTTTAACCTCTTGACTCCAACACCCTGTACAAGACACACCACTAACTTTAACCTCTTGACTCCAACATCCTGTAAAAGATACACCACTAACTTTAACCTCTTGACTCCAACACCCTGTACAAGACACACCACTAACTTTAACCTCTTGACTCCAACAGGCTGTAAAAGATACACCACTAACTTTAACCTCTTGACTCCAACAGGCTGTAAAAGATACACACCACTAACTTTAACCTCTTGACTCCAACAGGCTGACCTGATAGAAGATGACATAATGATCCTGGATGCTTGGGAGTGCATTTATGTTTGGCAGGGGAAAAACAGCAACAAGTCTGAGAGGGAAGAGGCTGAAAGATGTGCAATAGTCAGTACATAATCATTGTTTCAGTTTCATGTTTCATTAACATTATCATCATCATATCATTGTTACATATTTACTACAAAACATATACAACAAAGAATAACACTTATATTAATACTTTTACATTCATTGAAGTGAACATAAGGTAGTGAAAAAATATGCATACCGACTTTGAGAGCTACAGAACAAACGAAGGAATGAACACACTTTACTTTAAAAGGCTTAAGAATTGGGCATGACGGCTTGTCTTACATTTTGCTTTTCTGGTCTCACATTACCCACATTATTCCATTCATACATTACTTAACAGATGATAAAAAACATCTTCAGCAACATCTGAATCTCAATTGCAAATGTAAAATGTGCTCTAATTATTTCTGCTTTTCTAAACAACAATAATTCTGAGTACACTAGTGTAAGAAATCTAGGGCAAATATACATCATCATCAGTTTCCACTTCTGCCATAAAGTGTTGTGGGGAGGAATAGTTTGCGATCCATTGCTTGATGGGCAGGAATGGCTGTTGTCATTCTTGTTGATGCAGAAGCTCTTTAATGTCATCAGTCTATGTTCTTCTTTCACTTCAGATCGTTTCATGTGTAGCTTCTGCATCGGTAGTTGTTCTAGCTGCATTTTTACTAAATGACCAAACCAATTGATCTTCTGTTTCTCAATTAATTTGCTGCATGGTGTTGTTCCTACATTCTGTCTGATATTATCTTTTCTTACTTTGTCGTAGATGGTTAAGAGAGAGATGTGTTATAAAATTACCTCTCATTACTTTTAACATGCAGCAAACTTGAAAACAGAGATGTGTTATAAAATTTACTCTTATTACTTTTAACTTGTAGCAATACTTGAAAACAGAGATTTGTTATAAAATTACCTCTCATTACTTTTAACATGCAGCAAACTTGAATACAGAGATTTTTTATAAAATTAACTCTTATTACTTTTAACTTGTAGCAATACTTGAAAACAGATATGTGTTATAAAATTAACTCTTATTACTTTTAACTTGTAGCAATACTTGAAAACAGAGATGTGTTATAAAATACATCTTTTTACTTTGAACTTGCAGCAATACTTGAAAACAGATCCAGCAGGCAGAGATACTGACACTCCCATCATTAGCATAAAGCAAGGTTTTGAACCTCCATCCTTTACAGGCTTCTTTGGTGTCTGGGATCGTGACCTTTGGAGTGTAAGATCATTTATTCATATAAATTTTCTTCTTCTGCGTTCCGCTGAAGATATAGTTGCATTGTACCCGTTTACAACATGGCTGTCATATTTGCACTTTTGCAGGCATTTGTTGACCAGGTACCAGGTTAGCCTTCCCGGATATTTATTATGAAAACTGATTATTCATAGATCCTGCTAAAATTTTTTTTTCTGTATATTGCTACCCTGGAATTAGAACACCTCAAAAAAACACAAACAACTTGGAATCCAAACAAAGCTTTTAATAATATTTTGTCTCAGAGCTTGAATGCCAGTTTGGGAGCTGAATGCCTGGCACATGCCGATCACATGGCTGAGCTGACAATGCAAGAGTTTCGGCACCTTCACCAGCAGCACAAGGAAGAAACTGCAGAAGACATTTCTTCCTCTAGGGAGGAAGAGGGGGGAGCTGAAAGGATTAACATGTCTGAAGTGTCAGATCTTTTGACCATGTAGGTGGAAATGCAAGAAGTTGTTGAGAGATGGCGCCCTGACACAGTTCAAATTAATAGGTGTTCTAGCTTATTCAATTATAACATCATCAAACACTTTAGAAAAATTATAAATGGTCACCAACACCAGATCATTTGGAGCAAGACGGACATTTAACCAGATTGTGACCGGTGCCATTAGTATTGGAACCCTGCACTGGCTGCTGAAGATGAGGATGGAGCATGCATGGGAATGCGTGAGTGCTGTGATGTCAATTCTTGACTCAGTTCAACTCAACTCATCTACAAATACTGGCACATTTAACATTAGAAATATCATATCTGGATATTAGCTCTCATTATTTAGGTTATAAACTATTGTCTCCAGATACTTACCTCAACCCGTTGAGAAGTAGATTATAGTATTTTTACATTATTTTAGAAAAAACATGACCACAAATGAAAAACTGTTGTAGAAACAAATGTTCGTCACTGACAAATCTTATCAGAGCAAGAACATGGAGATGGTGTTGACAAGTTTGCAGAAGACTTAATGACACCTTTTGCAAAGACAGCTGTCAGGTGGTTGGCAGATAGAAAAATGATAGCCTAAGAAAACCTGGAAAAGGACAGTAGAATGGGAAAAATCTTCTTCTTCTTCACCTTCACCGGCTGTAAACTCCGACGCAAAGTTCTGGTTGTTTGTTCTAGACTTTTAGTCTCTTTCCTGAACCTGAGTGTTGCGTGTGCATCTGTTTTACAGATATCACTCATTTGCAGCAGCTGATGGTTCCTTGCCTCTCAGGCAGGTGCACTCCGACTTCGATGAAAGCTCCCAATTAGTGGACTTTTATGACATGTTTTTTAGTAGGCAGTGGGTCTATTCTTGTTATCCCTATAATAGGGCCCCGGAACCCACACAGGGAATAAGAAATAAAATAATGTAAAATAATGTAAAATAATTTGGTATAACAGCATAAAAGCAGCAACAGCAATAACGGTGATTTTTTTTTTTTTTTTTTCATCGAACACCGGCTGTTAATTCCGGTGGAAGGTCCCGGTTAATCGTCCACTTGGACTTTTGGCTTTCACCTGGACCTGATTTTTGCGTGTACAACCGTTTTTCATTTCCCTGCCTCTTGGGCAGCTGTACGCCGACTTCGAAGGAAGACGTCAGGCCTATTTCTAGGGTGACTGTGGCCATTGTTTTGTGTGGGTCGAGACGTTGCCTGATTTGTGTGGTGTCCATTTTGTCGCCTTCGCCGCAGGTATTGCCCCCGGAGTACCCCTTTGGGGTAGCCCCCTGTGGAACAGTTGGCCCTCAAGGGAAGGCAGGGGCAGATCATGGGCATTCCCCGCCATCCAAGGAGGCTTCCATGTATGCAGAGCCGGCACATATCGCTCTGTTTCTGGGCTCACCCAAGGAATCGTCACGTCCTGCACATGCCTGCTTAACCTCACAACCGTATCAGGCCTCCCGCTCGACAGGGGTTGCGCCCTCTGGAAGTCTGCGGGGAGCAGCCTTTGGGTTTTGGACTTTTGTGACCACACAGATAGGTACGTTAGCCCGACAGAATTTCACATCCTGAATCAGGCATATCGTTGTCTGTTTTTCCCAACACTCGGGCAAGTGAGGTCTTTGGGTGTGTGTATTCGGTCTCTTTCAGTTCAGTGCAAATTTTGATGGTCAGATTTTGATCCGTATGATCTAGTTTTGTCGGACATTTAGGCTTAGCCATCTGATGGATGGTTGCTGTTGTGGTGTACCCCAGCGCAATGACGACGACACTGAGGGTTAACCGAGGATGTACGTAAGTGGCCAGCCTATGGATGGTTTTGTCGTGGTGCACCTCAGCGCGGTGACGACGACACTGAGGGCCAACCAGGGATGCACAAGGATGGCCAGCCCATGGATGGTTGCTGTTGTGTTGCCCCTCAGCGCGGTGACGACGACACTGAGAATTAACAGAGGATGTGCAGTGAGCAATGTTTTCTATACTCAGCAGTCTTTTAACCAAGAGTTGTAATTTTAGCTGTATGTTTGTCAACCCTACTCATGTTCCTAATGAGTTTTGATAATGTTTCACCCAAGCGTTTGGGGGCGGGCTGATGAGAGCCACAAGGACACATCACCTCTGGGGGCCGCCAAACTCCGAGATCCCCTGACAGCTCTGTTAATGCTCATTTGAGACATTATCCGTGGCGCACGACGAGGACGTGCTGTAGGGGTCTTGCGTGAGGATCTGTACAACCAGGATAGTGAAGGACTGGCGCCCGAGTGACGTACGGAGTATCTCCTTATACACATCATGATGGACTTAACTTCCCCTCACGCCTGTGACATAAATCACCGCGCCACACGGTGATTACTTATGAATGTCTTATGTGTGAACGACAACATGAAGACAGTATTTATATATATATATATATATATATATATATATATATATATATATATATATATATATATATATATATATATATATATATATATATATATATATATATATATATGTGTGTGTGTGTGTTTGAATGTGTGTGTGTATATATATGTGTAGAAAGAGAGAGAGAGTGAGAGAGAGAGAGAGAGAGGGGGAATAGAGAAAGAGAAAGAAAGAGAGAAGGAGGCAGGGAGATACATTTCTTTCTTTGTGAAATATTAAAATATGTCTCATGTTTGAACAGAAAGGACTCAGTTTTGAAGAGCTGAAGAAGCAGATAGGAGAAGGAAACCTGCCCATCTCACAAGTCAAGGAGGTAGGTGATTTAGTCTTAGCCTAACTACCTGTAATCATGGCTTCAACTCTTCCCCAAGATTGGGATCATCATAACATGATTCCAGGGACATAAAGGGGCTGTTTAAATACTGGAAACATCATCTATTAGTGCAAAAATCAGCAAGGGTTGAAGTTCAGAAGATTGATCTCATTGAAACAGTTTTGATCACATCTGGCATGATGGCAACATGCAGAGTGGCTAATCAAATACCAAGTGCATCACACAGCAAGAACACCTCAGCTCCAGGGCTGACCCTAAAGGATCTCTGACTGACAACAATAAAGTCACAGCCTTCCAATCACGAGGTAAATGGTTCGACCACTTGCCCACAGAAACCCTACCATACCTCAAATGGTGAATTAATGCCAGCACAGCTGACTCAAGACACAACACTGTTATTCTGTGGAGTACTGCAAGTCCATAGAATACAAAGAAGTAGTTTTACTATTGTAAATAATCATAAGCACCTTGGAAGCACCACAGGTGCCAAACGACTGGCGACACCTGTTGTGAGTTGATTAATCTTGTCTCCTTGGTGAAATATTCATTTTTTGCAGTTTTAGGCTGCTCTCCCATGTCCATCAGTCTAAAAAGGATACAGAGTCATGCCTTTTTCCATATTCATCTTCACAGTAAATGTTGTGCTTGGCATTGATAACATCACTTCAGTCCAGTACTGGACCAGCCACAGCAGTTGTAGTGTCTGTAAGGTAATCTGCCCTCTCATTGCCTTGAACATCTACATAACCCAGCACAAAGATGGTTGGGCCAGCCATTCGTGAAGTTCTTAGTTCTTCTAATAAACCCAGCCTTGAATTTTTAAGCATATTCATTGAATCACTAAGTATGCATACATGTGTGAACTCTTGAGTCATCATCATTATGTAGTAGGTCCTTTGTAGAACGTCGCTCTCATCACAGTCTGCCTGAAAGAAACTCGGTCTCTTGCCAGTTCTCCAACCTCATGAACTTTCACACTCAAGGAGTCACTTATATCCTGTGCCCATCTTCGTGTCGGTCGGGCCCCTGCCCCTCCTTCCTGGTACCATGCCTTCTGCTATAATTTTTTCCAATCCGTCGTGGTGCTTGATATGACCAAAATATTTCAGCTTTCGAGAAAGGATGCTGTTTATTAGCCAATCTTCCTTGATGTTCAGATCTTTTAAGATGTCAGTATTTCTCATCTTTTTTGTCCAAGATATTCTGAGAATCTTTCTATAGCATTTCTCTTGGGTACCTGGGTTCATTCTGATGTACTTTTTACGACCACAGTTTGCATTGTAAGGCTGCTGGCCGTAACATTACAACACACTGTAAGCAAAGGAACGGAACCTTGTTACATCACTGGTACATCCGGCATAGTGTTCCCAACTCATATATTTTACAAACCAATCAGCTCTCCAATGGTAATGTGATCACTGTCACACTGGTTGTGTTTTCTTTCAAGGTTATCATTGTGGTCACTTTGGATTTTGCAGAGAGCCACAAATGGAGTTCAAGACTTCAATGAAGTGACCAAATATTCATTGGCTGAACTGCAAGTTGCTGCTGAGGAATTGCCCCCTGGAGTCGACCCTTCTGCAAGGGAGGTCAGTCACTTATCTTTGTGCCTGTTTCTGCTTTTTCTTCACCAAGTCTGTCTGTTGTCTGTCTGTGTATCTACAGTGTCTTCAGAAACAGTACAGTGTCTTATATTGTGTGTCTGTTTATGAATGATGTTTACAGTAACAGCACAGTCTACTATCTGTCTAGGTTTGAATTACATCTTCAGTCTGTCTGTGTATCTAAAAAGTCTTCAGCAATATTACAGTGTCTTATGTTGTTTGTCTGTCTATGAATGATGTCTTTAACAACAGCAAAGTCTGTATGAATAAAAACAACATCTAGCTGTGTATGAATGACTCTACTGTGATATCACAGTGTTTGTCTATTGTCTGTCTTTGTATGAATAACACGTTCAGCAATAGCGCACTGTTTGTCTATCGTCTAGCTGTGTATAAATTACTGTTCTCTGATATCATAGTGTTTGTCTATTGTCTATCGTTGCATGAATGAAATCTTCAGCAATGGCACCGTTTCTAGCACTTTTGCTTGTCAGTTGGTAGTTTGTGTGTTTGTTTAAATTAAACTCAACATTAGGGTTATTAAATAATTTAATTTAGCTCTGACATCAGTTAAGCTTCAAATCATCACTCTGCTATGTTAATATTATGTCATTTACAAACTCACATTCAGTTCTTCCAAACAATTGCTGTGATTTGAACAAGTGACTTCTAATGATAGTTCAGAAATAAACAGACAGGGAAGTTTTGTCGACAGCTGAATTAAAGATAGATGGGGAAATATTGCTGACAGCTGACAGAGAGTGGGAATACAAGATAATCAGTGAGTGGGAATGCAAGATAGTGAGTGGGAATGCAAGATAGTGAGTGGGAATGCAAGGTAGTCAGTGAGTGGAAGTACAGGATAATCAGTGGGTGGGAATACAAGATAGTCAGTGAGTGGGAATGTAAGGTAGTCATTGAGTGGGAATACAAGGTAGTCAGTGAGTGGCAATACAAGATAGTCAGTGAGTGGGAATGCAGCGAAGTCAGTGAGTGGCAATACAAGATAGTCAGTGAGTGGGAATGCAGCGTAGTCAGTGAGTGGGAATACAAGATAGTCAGTGAGTGGGAAAGCCAGGTAGTCAGTGAGTGGGAATACAAGATAGTCAGTGAGTGAGTGGGAATGCAAGGTAGTCAGTGAGTGGGAATACAAGATAGTTAGTGAGTGGAAGTACAGGATAATCAGTGAGTGGGAATACAAGATAGTTAGTGAGTGGGAATGTAAGGTAGTCAGTGAGTGGGAATACAGGATAGTCAGTGAGTGGGAATACAAGATAGTCAGTGAGTGGGAATTTAAGGTAGTCATTGAGGTGAATACAAGGTAGTCAGTGAATGGGAATGCAGCACAGTCAGTGAGTGGGAATACAAGATAGTCAGTGAGTGGGAAAGCCAGGTAGTCAGTGAGTGGGAATACAAGATAGTCAGTGAGTGAGTGGGAATGCAAGGTAGTCAGTGAGTGGGAATACAAGATAGTCAGTGAGTGGAAGTACAGGATAATCAGTGAGTGGAAATACAATATAGTCAGTGAGTGGGAATACAGGATAGTCAGTGAGTGATAATGCAAGGTAGTCAGTGAGTAGGAATATAAGATAGTCAGTGAGTGGGAATACAAGATAGTCAGTGAGTGGGAATGCAAGGTAGTCAGTGAGTGGGAATGCAAGATAATCAGTGAATGGGTATACAGGATAGTCAGTGAGTGCAAATACATGATAGCTGGTGATTGGGAATACAAGATAGTCAGTGAGTGGAATACAGTTTAGTCAGTGAGTGGGAATACAAAAAAAATGGGCTACCTCTTTTGCATTCTCCCTGAAAAAGGTAGCTAGCACACTGCTGTATTTTATATCAAAGCTGTGATATATGGATCTTTCAGCTCAACACATCTAATTTCAGCACATACTTCATTAGTCAGCTTTTGTTGCATGCTTATTGAAGGAAAATGGATCAGGTCTATTCTAATGAGAGCAAGGAACTGACGTTAGGGAAAGAGTTTGACAAATAGTGGTCTGCAAGGCAAGACAGAGGCAGGCATGGTGTGTTAGAAAGGCATTCTTTTGTTGATGATTGACTTTATGGTCAGATGGTTTACATTGTCTTTCTGATAATTTAAAATATTCTACAGGAGTGAGTAAGATAGTTAGGAGCTGAGTGAGTGTTAGAGTGAGTTTGTGACTGTGTTTCCCTTCTTGGTCGCTGGTTGTCAGCTTGACCCTCCTATGACTCAAAGAGTCATGTCATGGATGCCACTCCATCAAGACAATCCCCAAAAACGCTTTTAACTCCTATGATATTATAACTAAGATGCCCTTATGGTGACAACAAGCTTTACATTCATAGACAAGCAAGCAATTACAAAACTGCTCAGTTATACAAGTATACAAGTAGACACGTACACTAGCTACATATGTACATGATTTAGCAAATTATTATTATTGTTATTATTGACTTGGTTTAATTTTGCATTCTGCAGATTCATTTACGGGACGATGAATTTAAGCAACTGTTCCACATGACTTACCAGCAGTTTAGTCAATTGGCTACATGGAAGCAGAACCAGATGAAGAAAGGGTTTAAGTTATTTTAATGTTTATAAAAGTGACCATTCTATCGCATGTAGAATATGAACCTGGTCTCGCAATCACCACTAACACAATTAACTTTGGTTTTGTTTCATAATGATTTCTACTCTTATGTGCAATTTTACTGTCAGTCAGATGACACAACAATGGCGGGTGGCTGACTGTGCACTCTCAGACTCTTTTTTTTTTTTTATCCATCTCTCCTTTTAATGTTTCTTCTTTCCTTGCTTTGTACTTTTTGCTCTGCTGCCTTCAGCTTTTCTCAGTATGATTTTTATGTGTCATGCCAAGTAATCTTTTTCTTCTTTTGCCCTATTGCTTATCTCATGAAAGATAGCGAAGGAGTTAGATGTAGTGTCTTATCCATGTAGTTTGTGTTTATGTCATACTGCGTTGTGTTGTGCCTCTCTCACTGCCTCCACCCACATCTTTCTTGGTCCACCTCTTGACTTGCAGCTGCTGTTCTCATGTAGTATGAAGGCTGCTGGGTAATGTAATGTATGCTCCAAATTAAACTTGCATTTTAATCATCTCCCTTTTCAGCTTTCTTTTCACGGCCAGTGTCACAAAAATGTCTGTACTTGATTGCTTTTATTTTTCCGAAATATAACATAATATGACATACCCATATGTCTAGAGACTAAATTTTCCTTTCTAATTGCTTGTTTATTGTCTAGTATCCAATTTTGTGACATATGCTTACATTTTATAGATAGAGAATCAACACACATCTTCTAACAAGTATGTGATTAAAAGCAATTAATTAGGACTTTGCTGAAATGTTTTGTTTTTGGCTGAAAAGCTCGATGAGCCTGCCAATCACTTTGTTAACTCTTTGAGTCCCAGGAGGTTTAGCACCACAGGCCCAGGGAGTAGTAGAGAGAGAGTCATAAAATCGGTGCATCATGCATTCATTGGGCTTCTAGGTAGGAACCTATGAACGTATGATATGTTCCTTGGGACTCACAGAGTTAAAGGCAAACATAGAAGAACAAGAGTGCATGTTGTTGCAGTGTCCCTGCATGGGTTTCTGGTCCCCATTTTGGAGGAAATAAGAACAGACCCGCTCCTCCCTAACAAGCACTTTGTACAGGTAGACTAATTCAGGTTTTTCCTTTTAAGCTGAAGTAAATCTGGCTGAGAGGCAAGGAACCAACAGTCTGCATACAAATAAGCCAGATCTCTAAAACTATGTGCATGCAAAATTCAAGTTGCGGAACAAGATGAAAGTCTAGAAATGGTTGAAGAACCTGAAATTTCTGCTGGAGTTTACAGTTGGTGAACTCAAAGAAGAAAAAGAAGTTCCAGTGGAACATGGCTGCTGGAGATTGCATCAAAATTGCAGTGTAATCACAAGCATTTGCTGGATTGAAAATCTACTAGTAAAACATGACCATTGCAGTGAGCGAAATGTGATAAAGTGCTATATAGATCAATTACTTTTATGTGCAGTTGAGACTTTGACAGTTTTTTTAACCAGGACTTTGACAAACGGCTGGCCGAATGGTTAGAACCTGGGCTCTCAAGCGGGAGACATGGGTTCGAATCCTCAGTAAGGCTGGAGATTTTTTGTCAGGGACAAAATAAAATTCTCACTGCAAAGTCGTGGCAACAGCTCTAGCCATGCGGCCGTAGATCCACAAACTCAAAGTCCCCCTGCCTACACGGCAAAAGTGGTACAATAAAGGCGGTAATTGGCAGTTTTGGCACTTTTTTAGCAGAGACTTTGACATACATAGACAAACTGAAACCACTGAGAAATGTATATTTTTTGTCTGAAAACATTTGGAAATATTTGATAATATTTGATAATAAAAGATAAATGGCAGTTGTTGTAAGATGTTTTTGATCTTTTGAGAACATTAGTGAGAGGATAACATGAAAATCGAAACAACATGAGGCAGGGGAAGACCAAGAAGAAGATGGATTGAAGGAGTCACGGACAACTTGAGACTTCATAACATCACGGCATATGAAGCGACTGAGCGCGCCCTGGCTCGGTTGCCGATCATCTGATAGACTGCGACGCCTAGTGGCACAAGCAGATTTTGACAAAAGAAGAAAGAAGAAGTAAGAGGATCAATCCTGATGTGTGACAGGAGTGCCGATACAAAGAAAATTAGACATTTAGGAGGATGGGCAGGTGGACTGGAAAGAAGGGCTGTGTCAGCTTTCACATTGACAATGGAGTGATGGGGGCTGAATTCAAGTAACTGAAGAATTGTTTATATGCATAATAATAATAATTTTTATTACTAAGCTAAGAAGAGCTGATAAGTGAAATGTATAAAAAACTACTTGACTGAGAATAATAATATTTTTTTGTGGAGGCCCAGGATTGTTGAGCCACCAGGATCTGATGCCTCTGATCAGTAGATTAGTGAGAAATGATGTCAAAGTTTTGGAGATGTGCTTTTTTAGAAAACATGAGGTGAACACCATGGAGGTTTTTTACCCAGCATTACAGAAACTGGAATATGTTGCAATGACAGCAGAGATGGTAGAAAACATAAGGTGAACACCATGGAGGTTTTATACACAACTTTACAGAAACTGGAATATGTTGCAACGACAGCAGAGATGGTAGAAAACATGAGGTGAACACCATGGAGGTTTTTATACACAACATTACGGAAACTGGAATATGTTGCAAGGACAGCAGAGATGGTAGAAAACAAAAAAGGCAGTAAGAGACCAAGAGAGAAAATGCTAGACACACAGGCATTATTGTATGGAGGAACATTTGTATAATAAATAACCATAATTATATGCTATAGAAAGTAGTGGACACATCTGCCCATCAGCATCATCTAACGTAGAGAAAAAATGAAATGAAAGAGTGTCAGCAGTTATGACAGAATAGAGTAAATGCGTAGACGTAGTTAGGAAAATATTCAGTGTAAACTAAGATATAAAGTTTATCAGTTATTTATACATGTGTGTGTGTGTGTGTGTGTGCATGTGTGCATGCGTGCACGTGCTTGCGTGTATGCATGTTACATTTCCTTGTCTGTAAAACGGGATTTCCATGAAGCCAAAGATTGTTTCTTTCCTTTGCATACTTTTACTGTCATGATTAAAAATTATATTGGATTCATGTTTGGAAAGATCCCAGTTATAATTTTGAATTCCTCATGATTTAAACGTGATGAAACCATATCATAAACTCACTCACTACGTGAATTACACATCAAGAAGTGACATATTACTGCAACAGTAAACGCACACTCATACTGTATGTATGTTTTTTTTAAAAACAGGTGCTCAGCATAATTTTGGGGTTTTGGAGTGTGTGTATGGTTTGTTGTTATTCTGACTCTAGCCAAGATTTTAGTGCTCCTTGCAATATCAACAAAAAGGGGTGTATAATCACATGTTTAGGCGATCATAAGGGAGACAATTCATTGTTTGTGAATGGTCACAGAATAATAATATTGTTTCATATTGAATATTGTTTGAGTTTAGTGTTAGTGTTTGGGTTAGGGTTAGGGTTGGTGCTTGGGTTAGAGTTAGTGCTTGGGTTAGGGTTGGTGTTTGGGTTAGGGTTAGGGTTGGTGCCTGGGTTAGAGTTAGTGCTTGGGTTAGGGTTAGTGTTTGGATTAGGGTTAGGGTTTGGGTTAGGGTTAAGGTTAGTGCTTGGGTTAGTGTTAGAGTTAGCTCCAACTCTAACACTATTATCACTTACAGAAACAATGGATCACATTCCCTGGTGGTTTTTCAGCAAACTACCGTAAAACATAATCCAGCTCTTGGGGTGTCCAAGAGGAAGCTCCTCCTCGAAGATACTAACCTATTATCTACCGTCCTTTTTAGGATACAATTTTTCACTATTTGAAGCCCCACTCTGGCTCATTGTGTCATCGGGTGTTTATCGCTTGTGTGATGTCCTGGTGGGGTAGAAAATCAGTCAGACTCCTCGAAGTCTAATGAGGTGGGTCGGCCGACCCATTTCTTGTCTTTTGCATTTAGTCCTCTTAGAAAAAAAAAAAAAAGAAGAAAAGAAAAGAAGGATAAAAAAAAAGAGAAAGAAATAGGAAAACAAAAACAATTGAAATTTTCTTTTTCAGGGGAGAATAAAAACCTTTTTGTTTATTTTGAAAAAAAAAAAAAAAAACCAGCTGTGGTGGCAAATACGTGCCAGCTTGCTTGATTACAACAAATTCAGTCTCATACTTGTTTGAAGATGTATATTAGGTTATAACATTAGCTACAGGTCAGCTGGTATGAGGGCACATTCCTGCATACTCTGTTACATCCTTTTATATTTCAAGATGTTGCATGAAGTGATTTTATCACCACATACTTTATTTGAATTTCTGTCAGCTCATCATGGCTTAGGCTATAAATAATTTTATGTAATTTTTCCAATATCAGTCATTTGTCTGTGTAGGTACCATGATCTGTGTTTGTTTTTTACATTACAGTGCCTTCAGTGGCAGCCTATTTGCCATTATCGTCTTTGTAACCTGAAGACTATCGGAAGTTTTATGCGTTTAATCCATGCTACTGAGACTGTTTGTGTGCCCCATTTTGTTGTGTTTGATTACATTGTGAGAAACACTGTTGAAATTTAAAAATGAAACTGAAAATTAAGATCGCAGAATAAATTATTATTAGACTAGAAAAAAAATGTCAGCTGTCATTTGGAGATTTATTGACTAGTGCTGGTGTATCTTTTATGATTATAGGGATGAGGTTTTAGTGTCATTTGACCTTGACTGTCATTTAATGGGGGTAGAGGTCTGATTTATAATTTTATAAATGATACATACATACTTCTGCTGTCAGTTCACTTCAGGTTAGCACATAGATACGTGTTAGTTCACTGTTAGCACATAAATACTGTCAGTTCACTTCAGGTTAGCACACTTCTGCGGTCAGTTTACTTCAGATTACGATCTGTCTGCTGTCAGTTCACTTCAGGTTAGCACATAGATACTTCTGCTGTCAGTTCACTTCAGGTTAGCACATAGATACGTCTGCTGTCAGTTCACTTCAGGTTAGC